TGCCCGTGGGTACGAGGGGCCCCTCCTGCTCCAGCAGCCGCCCCGCTGCCTCCGGCGCTGCCGGGCTCAGAGCTTTTCCTGCGGTCGGTTTGGTGTTTTTTGTTTTTGGTGTTTTTTGGGTTGTATGTACGTTTTAGAGGGTTCTTCGGAGCTGAAATCCACCAAGGGATCTGTGCTTCCCTACGTGCGTCTTCATTGAAGACGCAGCTGCAGTACCCTAATCAGTTTCAGATAGCTTGGAGGAGAAGCATTTCTAAATATTTAATTATAAAAGCAGAAAACATTGCCTGGTCCCTCTGATGAACCTGCAGGTGTTTTGAGAAAATGACGACTCCGCTTTTTCTCAAAGATGAGCGTCCTGGACCTGGTTTTGCTCTGCCTGGCCATGCGTGAGCACTTGCAGCCGTGTGAAGTCCGGTGGCTGCGATTCGCGGTGGGGTGATGTCCCACCTCGCCCAGTTTGCCGTGTTTTTCCCCAAGGTGTGGCGCGGAGACGGACTGGGGAGCCCGCGTCTCGAGGGGTGCCTCTGCGGAGGTGACGCTTGGGCAAGCGTTTGCGGCTGTGGTCGGCAGAGACTCCGCTGCCCCATGCCTTATGTTGGCTTGTGTAGCTGCACAGGGAATGGTTGGAAAAACTGAATTTACAGATTTTTGTTTGTGGCCATACTGATCTGTGACTGAGATCTCCTTGCACGCTGTGTCATTTTGTCGGTAGGCTGCGTGACTGGAGGTTTAGTAAAATGGTGAAAGAAAGGATTACTATTGTAGCACATACGTACGAGATGCAGAAGTGTTTAGCATCAAAGTCCTCGTTTGATTCAGCAACTATGTGTACTTCTGAGTGTTAAAAAATAATACACGTTTTTCTTTTACTAGCCTGCAGTTGATGCAAAATGAGTGTTCCTGACTACATGCAGTGTGCTGAGGATCATCAGACTCTCCTGGTTGTGGTTCAGCCGATTGGCCTTGTACCCGAAGAGAGCTTTTTCAGGATCTACAAGCGAATTTCAGCAGTGAGTCAAGTTAACGTGCGCGACTCTCAGCGTGTCTTGTATATCCGTTACAGGCACCATTATCCCCCAGAGAACAATGAATGGGGGGATTTTCAGACACACCGGAAAGTTGTGGGGCTGATAACTATTACGGACTGCTCTTCTGCGAAGGACTGGCCTCAGACTTTTGAAAAATTCCATCTTCAAAAGGAAATGTATGGTTCTACTCTCTACGATTCCCGGTTGTTTGTCTTTGGGCTTCAAGGAGAGATTGCGGAGCAGCCTCGCACAGATGTGGCATTTTATCCCAGTTATGATGAATGTGAAACTGTGGAGAAGAGAATAGAAGATTTTATCGAATCCCTCTTCATAGTGTTGGAGTCTAAGCGGCTTGACAGAGCCACTGATAAGTCTGGAGACAAGATCCCGCTCCTCTGTGTTCCTTTTGAGAAGAAGGATTTTGTAGGTCTGGACACCGATAGTAGGTAAGCAGATATTTTTGTCAGCTCGCAGGTCTTGAAAAAAATCTGTGCGGCCATTGCTAGCCTTTAGGATCAGCCTATTAGAAAGGACAGAAAAGTGCACTTTGTTACAACAAAGGTCGTGCCCCTGTCTTATTGTGCATGTGTGCTGTAATGTAAAAGAATTTAATTTGTAGTCTGACCATGTTTGATGTTTTGAGTTACATATATATATATTTCATGTAGGAGGCTAATCAAATAGTAGGAAGAGGTCACAGGAAAGGTTGGACAGATTCTACTATAAAGAGTTTTTGCTGGAAAGTTTCAAATAGTTTATAGGTATATAGTATTAATAAATTCAGTTAACATCGATAAAAAAAAAAATTTATGTTATGTTGAGTAGTATTTGATTAATCCTACCTAAGCTTCTCTCTACTTTTTCATGCTACGAAACAATAATCGTTTATTTTGGTGACTAAGTCCAGCATCTTTCCCTGTCTTTCGCTTTTATTTAATTATTTGATATTCTTGACCCACCTTGTTTTGCTACCGTTGTTCTCACAACTGTTCTCTTTGGTTTTGTGTATGTTAGTGTTTTGTGTGTTACCCTCCCACCCCCCATCTTTGCTTCCTAATCATTTGCATGCTCAACTTTCAGACTTGAGTGTTACCTAGTTGTTGTGTTAGGGATTAGTAATTATGGTTTACTAGCTACCGGCAAGTGCAAAATCTGTTCGACTCTGCTGTTCGCAGTCAAATCCAAAGGATGGATGCAAGTCTTCCTTCTGTCTTGGAAAAGACAGAGGTGTGGAAGCCCTGTCAAAATACATAGTATGCATGGGAATAGTATCTTGCACATCTGTGTTGTACTGCTAAGGATGCCAGCAGTGGTTGTTGTGTGTAAAAGCTCAGAGGTATCCAGGCAGGGTTGGCCAGAGCTGTCCAGGCAGGTTTGTGAAGTCTTCTGATCCTGTTAGGCAGCCCTGCCGGCATAATTAGTCCTAGCCTTAGAATCTCTATATAAGAATGTGATATACTGGAAGAAAGTATTCTAAGTTTCTGATTAGCTTGAAGCCCTCCATTAGATTATCTCTGGTTGCTTGAGGGACCATCAGTACCTTTGTCCCCTGCTCCTGGTCCTCTTTGCTGGCGAGTCGTTGAACTTGCTCTGACTTGCTTACCCAATGTTGTTTCCTACTTGAGCTGCTCTTCCAGTGTTCTGGTTAGTCCCTGCGCTATTTGACTTTCATTAGCGGTATAAATTCTGATGCTGTTGTTTTTTGTACTCTGCATGGGCAGTAAAGTTTTGTGGATTAGATGAGCCCTGTTAGAATCTCACCTTTAATTACTCAGTTTGGATGAATTTTGGTTGAACGTGATCACCAAGATTTTCTGTTCCAATTAGCTAAGAAAACTATGGAATTAATTACACTGCTCAACTGTGTCCTCTAAATAGCATCCTTCAAAATTGTACTTTGGAAGTCAGTTCCTTACATAAATTATTTATTTAATACTAGATTTTTATCTAGTATAATAGTTATAGTCAATAGGATAATAGATAATAATTATTATCAAGTATAATAGGTGTTACTTACTAGAGAACTGGGCAGAGAGGAAGCAGATGAAGATCAACAAGGGCAAGTGCAGGCTCCTACACCTGGGGTGGAACAACCCCATGCACCAGTACAGGCTCGGGGCAGACCTGCTGGAGAGCAGCTCTGTGGAGAGGGACCTGGGTGTCCTGGTGGATGACAGGTTAACCATGAGCCAGCAGTGTGCCCTGGCTGCCAAGAAGGCCAATGGGATCCTGGAGTGCATTAAGAAGAGTGTTTTTTTTTGGGCTTGTTCAGCCTGAAGAAGAGAAGGCTGAGAGGGGACCTTATAAATGCCTATAAATATCTGAAGGGTGGGTGTCAGCAGGATGGGACCAGGCTCTTTTCAGTGGTGCCCATCAACAGGACAAGGGGCAATGGGCACAAACCGAAGCAGAGGAAGTTCCATCTGAACATGAGGAAGAACTTCTTCCCTCTGAGGGTGACGGAGCCCTGGAACAGGTTGCCCCAGAGGGGTTGTGGAGTCTCCTTCTCTGGAGATATTCAAGACCCGCTTAGACAAGATCCTGTGCAGCCTGTTCTAGGTGACCCTGCTTGGGCAGGGGGGTTGGACTAGATGACCCACAGACGTCCCTTCCAACCCCTGTCATTCTGTGATATATGAGCAGTGGCTGTGTAGTAGCTAGTGGCTAAATAATTTCTGTGAAGTTCTGAACTGGTGGGGAGCTCAAATAACAGGCAGCATGTTTGTCCACGCATACCCAAGAAGATGTTTTATGGTGTTGAAACTGAAGAGTTGAAACAGTTTTAGTGTGATGCTTGAGTTCGTTGCAAAATGGAAGATGCATGACCCGGTTTCTGTAAACGTGGGTCTACACAGAGTTAGTTGCTGGTTCAGATATGTGTACAACCTTGCTGGTGGTTTGAATACCACATAGTTTTTCAGTAAGTCTAGACTTGCTGTATCAATAATTAGTACTTTAATTGTTTGCTGCACTTAACTGCTCAAAGAAAAGGTGTTAAATATTCTTATTTTTCCTCTTTGAGTTCAATAGTAAGAAAGTTTTTCAGCTTTAGTTTGCTGTGGAGTTAGTATTTCTGATTGTTTTAAAACTTAAGAATTATATATGAATAGCATAAGCAAGCCAAATTAAAAGATCTTTATATTCACTTTAATATTTTGTGTGGATGAGTAAGAAAATACTCTTAAGTGCTTGGACTTTTTTTTTTAATATATCTTTGAGTTCTGTAATAGAAAGGAGAAATTTATGTAATCCCAAGTAAACATCAGAAAAGGAGTTGTCCTTGGTTGAGTTAGAAATACGTGTGCATAGTGTACCTGAGCTTCTCTGCAGACGGACCTCTCTAAGACACCTTTCACGTCGCGTGATGCATCTCTGCTTCTGTGTTCTGCTTGGTAGAAACTGAGGACCATGAAATGTGGTTGAACTAAGATCAGTTTATTTAACTAACCTACACTTTCAAGCCTAAATCTGTAGATGTGAAGTGGTAGTGTACGGCATTTTATTTTTTGGGTTGCAATAAAAAGTTTTTATTGTAGCATGTTCTCTTTTGCAGTGACAGATTTCCAAATTGAGGGCAAAGCATTGTATTAAGTCCTAACGGGGAGATACGGGGCTAGAAAGGACCTCCTTCAACAGAGTCCAGTTTGTGTTTTTGCAAGATGCGATGATCTGTAATTCTGCCCAGGGAGGAGTAAAGGTTGCCTGAATGCACGGAGTGCATGTGAGAACATCTGGTAGAATAACGTTTGCTACTTTGTTGGTTTTGAGTCAGCATAAGGAGTTTAAAGAATGAAAAAAGAAATGTTATTGAGATATTGAGGCAAATGAAACAGCTTTTGCTAGAATAGGTGGAAATTTCTGAAGGGTTAAAGGCAAAGAATGTCCCCTTACTCTTTTTTTATGTACCTTCCATCATTTTTTTTTTCATTTTTTTGTATATAATGTATCCTGACCTCCCAGTCAGTGTGCAGCCAACTGGTGAAAAAGCACAGATATTCTGTATTAGGTAGATGGAAGAGAAGGCACACTCTCTGTGCTTAGAGACTATATGTTTTTGTTGCTATAGCTGCAGATGTCTACTTGGGCTAAAGAAGCAGATAATTTCCTGTAACTTCTAAAACTGAAGTTAAATTTCAGGGTGTAGCAAAAGTCTCATTAGATGTAGAGTGGAGCTGTAACCTTGAGGTAATGAACTGCTGTAACCTTGAGGTAATGAACTGGATATAGAGTGAAAATAATGTTAGAAGTTACATGGGACATAGTAATTATGATCATGTGATTTGATGACTAATTAAAACTACTGAACTTTTTTTGTATCTTAAAAGACCCTTTTCTCCAAGCAATTTATTTTAAAACACCAAGGATAATACTTATGTTATGATCAGGACATCTTCTCTCTCACCTAGTTAGTAAGACTAGTATTAATTTGGTTGCATAATAATTGTAACATGATTGGCTTTTTTTAAGACACAGAGTTCATATATTAGGAAGATGGATCATTATGCTGCATTTCAAATAAGATAATTCTTGGAAAAAGTGGAGCTGCTCTTAGTCTTTTGCAAGTTGCGTGTATAATGAGCAGAAGAGACAGTATTCCCGGACCTTGTACTGAGATGACAATATATACAAACCCGCTATATTATTTGTGTAGAAGAATTTTTTTTTGTCTGATAGAAAACTTTATGTATTAAAAATAGTGGGTTTCAGTCCAGAGACATTTTGAAGAAAGATCGTCCTGGTAGGTTTAATTTCTAGAGCTTTCAGCCAACAGGTGATCTTGGCAAATTTGTTAATTTTTCTTTCTGTTTCTTCATCTGTAAATAAGGTAAAATAATTATGTGATCACAGGGCTGTTGAGGATAACTGAAAAAGTTTCTGAAATCAGTTGCACTTGATGGTTATTTGTAGAGGCTGGAAGACTGACTGAAAAGAATGGAAATGCACGTTCTCGAGATGATAAAAAGCTCCTGCAACTTGAAACTGAGAAATGTACTTGCCAGAAATACCATTTGTTTAATTTTTCTATTTTATTTCTGTTTTTGGCTAAAAAAAATAAACATACGTATGATTATAAATCTACTTGGATAAGCTCATTTTAATGTTGTTTACATCAGTTTGTGTCTTAGGTTCTTTCTGTTTTAATACTGGTAAAGCATCCATTTAATACTATTGAGTGATGAGAAAATAGGGCTTTATTTATAGATGTGTCTTTCTCTACACAGTGTCGTAGATGGAATTTGTTCACTGATTTATCAAAGTTTATGATATCTCAGTATGTGTATGTGGCTGTTAATTTTCTTTCTGTTCTCTGTCTTTCTAATTTTTGTTTTGTTCCTTTCTTTTTTTTTTCTTCTTCTCTCATACTGCCCTGTGAGTTTGTTATTGGGTCTGAAAAGGTAGGCTGCGATTGCGTATATTTAAAAATAGTTAGCTTTCTTCCATGTAC